TTTTTTTTTTTTTTTTTTTTTTTTTTTTGCCAAATATTTTTTTTTTTATGTTGTTCTTATTCTATTGTCATGTGAAAACCCCCCGAAGATGATACTCTTTCACTTTTTACATTTTAAGATATATATATATTATATATATATATATATATATATATATATATATATATATATTCTTTTAAAGAGCAGAGGTCAATTTGATTTTTACATACGTATTAAATCTTAATCATTTTGATTATTTTACCTTTTTCTTAACTTTTTATTCAAGTCTTTTATATAAAGTATTGAAGCGAATGGTTCTTTTGACACAATAATTTTATTATTATTTTTTTTTTATATCACTTGAATTATTTTACTATTTCAATTTAGATTTAGATTTTCACACTATTTTTAAGTTTTGTTTTATCAATTTTAATTAAAAAGAACCAACTTCTTACTCTATCCCGCCCACAACCAACAAGCGAAGTGCAGACAAAAATAGAGGGGGATTCTTGCTGGTGGTCTGCTGTAAGAAAGACGGTCTGTGGAACCACGGAATGGGCTTCCACCAGTCTGAAGAGAGCTAAGTGGTCGTGGGGATAGTTGACATAAGGTGGTAAGTGAGATTGGCCAGATTATTATTAATTCGATTACGTGACCTCGTGACAAGTGCATTTTGTAAAATTATCATCTTCGGGCATTTTATTATCGTATGTGTTTTACTGTGTTTGTTGTTTTATGTTCATTATTTTAATGTATTAAGTTCATTTTGTTTTATCGTTTGTTTTATTGTTTTAGTGTGTTTTACCGATTTATTTTAATGTTTTAAGTTTATTTTGCTTTATCGTTCATTTTACTGTACTGTGTTTTACCTCATTTTATGATTTGTTTAAATATCTTCATTTCGTTTTATGTTTTGTGTTTTTTGTTTCACTACATCGATTTATTGTGTTTTATCAGTTCATTGATACCGAAATAAATATTTCTTAAGTATATTTCGTTTTATCAACGCCTTAACGTGATCGTTGAAAAGGATACTAGGAAGGGTAGCTAACAGTTCGTTTCCCTGCAGTGATATGCCTTATTTCTTTCTGTTCATTACATCAACGTGGTGATCTGCTTGATTGCGTTGGAGGATTCTCCCCGCACACGCCTCTCCTCGGCTCAAAATCACGCTTACCAACCTTTGCGATCTCGCACCATACATATACACCACACACACATACTACATTTACACTCTTTCGCTCCTTTCCCCACATCCGTCTTCCACACTATTATTCTTCTCACATATAAACTACGTTCCCATACGTGAACTAAATGGGTGGTGGTAGTAGCTCCTCTTTCACATTTGCGAGACATAATTGTGTAGGTATTTGCTACATAGAGAGAGGGAGGAAGAGGGAGAAAGAGAGAACAAAAGTAAAAAGATTAGAAAGAGATAATAAGTAAGAAAAAAAAGAGAGAAAGAGGAGAGACGGGAGGAGAAAGGAGAGAAAATGAGTAAACAGA